GGTTTGCCTATTAAAAGCAGCACTTCTCAATGATTCAGCAGGTGGTCTCTTCAAACTACTTCCCCGTAGTGTGGAAATGAATAACCCAGGGGGGAAAACAGCCTCTGTTACTTAGATGTATGGAACCCTGCTTACAGCTCAATTTTACCAGTTGTTAAATCTGTGCAATGCCCATGATGAACAAATAGGAGTAAGATGCTATTGTCCTCATTAATGCCACTAAGGACTGCATGTACATTTGTCCTGAAGGAACCACAATGATAATAACAGCAACAACTATCCTACATTTACAAAATGCTTCATGTCAAATCTCATTTTGATTCACAAAACCACTTTGTGAGCAGAATCTTAAAATTTGCAGATGAGCAAACTTAGTAACTTCCCAAGGTCCTGTTGGTTTTTTACTAATGACAGGATTAACATGTGAAGGTGGCCTGCTAGCATAGAGTTCCTATCCCTATTCCCTTCTCTCACTGCTTCCTCTGGTAACCTACAATCAATAGTGAGTCAGCTGGCAGGGGTCGTAACTGTGGAGGGATATGCTACCCAACAGCTCACTTGGAGGAGGACACGCCCCTGGCGTCATGCTGTAGTCTAACCCACGTGAGCTTACTGTTTTCTCTCAGACACAAAGCTGGCCATCTAAGCTTTGAAGATATGAGCAGTTGGGCCGTTTTAATCAGAGCAGATTAATGCTACTGCATTAAATAACCCCAGGCCCCTCACAGGAGGCAATGCCTCCTTTCCTGTGTGAGTGATAGGGTAGATTTGCATTCTGGGTGTCCTTGTTCACCCTCGACAAATTAAAAAGGAAACAAGTATATGGTAGAGCCTTCCTCATGTGTAGTGTTCACACCCTGGCCTTTGCTCTATCCAAATGTCCATCAGTAGCTCAAAGCCTTGAGACAATATTAATGGATGAGGTCACTGATATTGCTGAAAACGGCAGCAGCGTTGGAATTGGGCATCATTCTTCTGACTGATTCACTGTGGATTTGTGAGATGATCCAAGGGGCCACTTAGGTCTTTGCCCAGCTGGTGAGCAGTTCCATCCTAGTGCCAAGTGCCCCACAGTATGGCCATCTGTGACTCGTTCCTCTTTGGTCTGGTAGAGACATCAATTGATAACATGCAGAGTGAGGCTGTACCGGAGGCTCTAGGAACAGACACAAGTTTCCATTTTACTTGATACAGAAAGGGGTTATGACTTTTGCGAGCAACGAACAAGGATATGTGTTGAATTACATATGAAAATTAACAGGAAGAATTATCAGTCATTACCAAGAGCCAGCCCTTTAAGTTCATCAGCTCTTTTGTAATCTTCCCAAATATCTTGAAATAGATACAATTATTATTTCTATTTTACTTATGAGGAAATTGAGCCCAGAAAGGTTAATAACTTTTATGATGATGCACAGCTGATAAGTACAGCCAGGATTCTGACCCCATCTACATAACTCAAATCTTGTACCCTATTTACTGTTATCATTCATCATGTCCAAGTGAAAGCACAATCCCAAAATGAATGCGTCTAGTCAGGAACAACTGGATTTAGATACCCAAGAATGTAGATTTTTTTTTTTTAATTGGCTTATATTTATAGAGGAGGGAAAAGAACTCGCTGGAGATAATGCTTCTTGAGATTTCTCTAAAACATTTGTCTGGGAGTTTGTTTTCAGTGTTTTGCTTTTTGTTATTAAAGAAAACCCCAAGAAAGATGAAATAAATAACTTGTATGTACCAGGCACCTATTTCATACAAAGCAAGACAATATAAAATGCAGCCTTTTTAAATGCAGTCCCTCACCTCAGCATTATCACGCTTAATTTCTTTGTCAGTATCCCATGCTAGAAGAAAATTCCTTCAGGTTCTTGGCAAAACTATACACCAAGCACCTGATACAGTTTTGTGTGCAGGAAAGAAGGAATGATAGACCCTGAGATTTGAGGAACAGAGATGAGTGAGACATCTCCACTCTTTAAAAAATTTAAGGTGTAATAAAGCCCAGCATGCACATAATTAATACAGTAGTTGAGGGGAAGTAGAGCAAGATGTCAAGAGGAAGAGGTAGAGAATCGAGGAGGCCTTAGGTTCTGAAGGACTATTATGGTATTATAATAGGTATTATGATGTAATGGAAACAAATTAGCCTCTCCAAGATCCAGGGTTGAATGCCAGCTTTGTGTCCAATGAGCTCCATTAACAGAAGCTCTGTGACTTTGACGAAGTTAGTTAACCTCTCTAAACCTATTTCCTCATCTCTAAAATAATATACCTACTTCAGAGCTTTGTTAGGAGAAGTAATATGATATTTAAAGAATGTAGTATAGATACCAGCTCATTGCAGGTGCTCAATAAACATCAGTTCCCCTTTAGATAATATAAAGATCAGAACACTTTTAAATGTCTTCATTGAAATGTTCTCCTGAGTGTTACCAATTTGACTGAAAAATGTTTGAAATGGGTGGACATAGATGTGAATAGAACATTTGGGAAAAGGAGAAACGATTAAGATTAAATGGACGTGATAGTGTTAGATTTTGTTGTAACTCGTTTAAACATGTAATTTTTACTACTGTTATAAAACATAAAGCAGACATATTACATAATGTACATATCTGCTTTCTTGTTTATTTCTAAAGCATTTGTTTGTATCTTGTTCTATAAACTCATTTTTATCTCTGAGAAGCTAGACATAAGCCCCTTTCTTCTCTCTGCCTCTCTCAGTCTCTCTCTCACACGAACACATGTATACTTGCACATAAACACACAACATTTATATTTGTAAACCCAGATCTTATTTTTTTTTGCTCTAATGCAATTACTTGTACTTAAGTTTTATTTTCCAAAAGGATCAAAGAGAGGGGTAAACACTTTTGGACATAAGATTTGTGATAGACATGATTGTCAAAGTAGAAAAGTTTAAAGTAGGATGTATTCCAACTAAGACAAATGCAATACAATACAGTACAGTACAGTACAGTATAATACGATATCATACTTCCCCATCCATAGTAGGGAATGTAAACATCATCGAATATGATGTAGAACAAACATTTCAATAGCATGGTGAAAGCATTTTGGAGATCTAATGAGCCCTATAGTAAGGAGTCCATATACTTGCTTTATTATTAAAGCAAGTATCCTGCTGTGATACATAAAATGTGGCAACTAGAAGAGCCTTACAAAGTGCTGACTGTACATAGGTTAAGTATCAGAGAAATGATGCAACCAGGATGGGGAGAGCACAGAGATCACCTAGAGAACAACAAAAATAACAGCGGGCTTTGGGAATGGCAGTGATTCGGCAGGACTAAAGCCTTGAAATTAGACAACATCTAGCCCTGAAAAAATAAGTCCTAGAGGAAAAGCATGTTGTCTTTCTTCAGTAAAAAAACTATAACATTGAAAACAGTCCATTTCAGTATCTGCAGGTATTTTATAACTAAATTCATTCAATGATTCTGCTCATTTCCACATTCATTATTTATCCATTCATTCAGAAAATGTTTATTGAGCACCTACATAAATGCCTTCTGCATACCAGACACTATTTTAGGAAGAGGGAATTCCAAGGAGAGCGAGACATGGCTTCTGCCCTCAGAGAGCTCAGTCTAATAGAGACAGTGACAACTGCACAAATAACTGCAATTTGATGTGATGACTAGCAAAGTGACCAAACAGGATATAGGACTGGCACTGAATTAGATGCTTAAGTGGGGACAGTTGGAGGTGGCATTTCAGGATTTTATCATGGTAGTAAAGTCATCAAAGTTGTAAAGGAGGGAGTCTGGGAACAGATGGGAAATTTAGTGGTTCTTGGAGGGCAATGGGTGATATTTATCAACTGGCAGTGTGGAGTATGTTTTTTTCCTGCTCTGTGTCCCAGGCCAGATTATCTTTTTCTCTGAGAAATGCTAATGGGGGTGTATGAGATCTGTGCAATACTTTGACCAGTATGTACACTACAGTGCTCTACTAATGTGCCATAAATGTGCACACATACACTGAGATCTTTATTCATAACAGCAAAAAAAAAACTGGATGGGCCTAAATATCTACCTATATGAGAATTATTAAATAAATTACAGTCTAAACTATGGGATGTGATTAAGGGTATTAAGAAGCATGATTTTTAGTAAAGATCCCATTTAAGATCTCATATGTGTGTGGGTTTCTGTGTGTCATATATATTCAAATGATTTGGGGAATTATTAGGCTGAAGGTAACTGGAGACTCACCTAAACCTGCATAATATTAGTAATTCCATGCACCTTTTTTTTTTGCTTTCTCTTTTCTAAATTAAGCTTTTTATTTTGAGATAGAGATTTACATGCAGTTGTAAGAAATAATACAGAGAGATCCCATGTACCTTTTACTCAGTTTACCCAATGGTAACATTTTGTAAAATGATAGCACATTACCTATATAATTTTGTTAACCAATATCACTCTAATAAACTTAATTTTAAAAAACCTTAAAAAATGATAGCATATTATCACAACCAAAATATTGGCATTGGCATAATTCATCAAACTTATTTCGATTTTCTCAGTTTTACTTGTACTTGTGTGTGTGTGTGTGCGTGTGTGTGTGTGTGTGTAGTTCTATGCCATTTTATCACATGTACAAGTACCTGTATCCACTAACACAGTCAAGACAAAAAATTTCTAGCACCACAAAAAATTTCTAGCTGTGTTGCCCATTTATACCCACACTCTCCTCCTCCCCCATGGACTTTTCACAGATTGGAGATTTAATGGAGATATATTTTCTAGCCATGTTTTGGGATGTAAGTGATTTGTTCTTTTCGTCTTTTGAATGTCTGCAAGTAAGTGATACGAAGTGAACCCTGAGCATTCCACCTTCTTGAGTTGTGCACCTTCCTGTTGCTTGGCAAAGGAACCAGCAACAGAGGTGAAGGGCTGCCTTGGGTGGGCGGCATTTCTAACTTTCTGACGACACAGAACCAAATATGCCACCTTTGTTTTCATTCCCAGATTACGCTCGATTTGAGGCCAAAATCCATGACCTACGAGAGCAGATGATGAACCACAGCATGAGCTCCGGGTCCGGGTCCCTGCGAACCAATCAGAAACGCTCCCTCTATGTCAGGTAGGCAACGGAGCATTTCTTACTGTGATCTGCACTATGTGAGCAACCCAGCTCCAAGAGACAAAGGCAACACCTCGTAGCAATGAATCATGTGTTCTTATGAACCCAAGCTCATCGATACACCACAGTGAGACCTTAAGCTTAACCATTTTGAAGATATTTATGAAATATTATGTTAAGTTAGTTAAAAGCCCCTGCTTTTAACGAGTTATTCTTTGACCATGTTATGATACAGGATAAAGTTCTTAGAACAGGTTACAGTAAAAATAATGACGAAAAAACATTTTTAATTTTGATAAATCTTAAATTGAATACATGGAGCAAAAGAAAGCCCTGGACATTTGCTCACCATCAGTATGAGAAGCACGTATTCCTGTATCACCCCCTGACCTGCTTGATATCTATTGCGTTAACTTTAGTGTATTGATTTGAAATCAGAAGTACTCTTTTATCGAGTTATGTGTCTTTTCCTAACAAGTTTTAGCGGAAAGACTTTCTTCTATAGCATCTCATTACCAAGCATTTCTCAGACCACAAGAAGTTACTTGTTCTTTGTCTGACAAAACTCATTACTTTACCAAAAAAATAAGATTGATAGAACTTGAAATGCCTTCCAGTCTTTCATCTTAAGTCTTGAGTAAGATTCATCATCACTCAACTGTAACATATGCCCCTTCTTAGCACAAGGCTCCTATATTCCTTCTAAAACACACTTCATCAGCGCTGACTATATTTTTAAAGATAATACATGTATTAACAGCCAAAGGGGGAAAGTGATGCCAAATTAACTGTCAAAATGAATTCAGGCACCAGTGGAAGAATCATGCCCATCGTCACTGTATTCTGCTCTCCCCAGTCTGCCCTAGAATCTGGCCTGACTCCCTTCTAAAGTCATATTCTCTCCACCTGAAATTTTATTGTCTTTTCCTGGCATGAGGTGCATGTTATAGATATTAAATTATGTACATGAATTGACTTGTCCTGTTGATTCCATTTTGGCTATAAAGTTATCTTTTGTGTATATTAGGTAGGCACAGCAGGGCCAAGAAGGGAGCAGGATTCCAGAAGGCGGCAGGTTCTCGAGGGCCTTGATTTGCTGGCCACTCTGACAAGAATAGAGTCCCTTCTTATTCCAGGCAGTACCTCAGAAGCCCTGAGATTTTAAATTTAAACAAAAAGTCAGAATATAAATGTCTCAACTGTGTCCAACTGCATTTTGGAAGATTATTTTGATATGCTTTGGTTTAATCTTTGAAAGGAACTATTGAGAACCACCTTAGAATGTGTCTTGTGCTGATGTCACAAATATTATGAAAGGCGGCTATTTCTATTTTCCTTACTTATGTTGTATTGCTGGTGTTTGTGATACAAAATATCTTTTAATGTTGAAATGTTTTAGTATTGGGTAGCAACATAGGAAAAGCCAATTAGGTTAACTGAATAGAGATAAATTAGTTAATGAAAATGAAACAGTTATATAGAATAAAACTGTAAGGACAAATTACCATATTATTAGGATCTTGTTAAAAAACAGAATGCACAAAATGTTAGTGTACTAAAGTTTGCTGAAGACATATTGATAATAACTTAGTCCTTTTAAATTGCTGATTAGAAAATTAAATGAAGTGATATGATAACGTTATGTAAAATTAATAAAATCATTTGAAAGAGTAGCGTAAATCAGAATTAAATCTTTATTTTCTAATATGATAAATAAAACTATGACATACAATGAATTTGAAGACTTATGGTTACAAAGAATATTTTTCTGTTAACATTCTAATAGTTGGAGATTATATTGAAAGGAGGAACCACTTTTAAATGAGACTCAATAGCTAATACTTCATGGGAAATTTTCCAAGTGATTTCTTATAATCTACAAAAGTGGCATTTGGTTCCCAATGTCAATTCTTAATACTTATTTTGTATGTAAAGAGCTGACTGCAGCATCTAAATGACTCCTAGAAGCATATAATTGGAAGAGAGATGGGCCATGCATAGAATTAATTCAGAAGGAAAGGACTGGCAGCATCCCCAGGCCTTGTTCCCAAGTGATGTGGTAAAACAGGCACACACACCCCCGACCTCTGAAAAGAAAAAAAAAAAAAAAAAAAAAAAGGCAATAAAATGAAATGAACTAGCAAGGCCTAAAGGGAATTCTTACCAAAAATGTCGGTAAGTTTGTACCTCCGTCATTTTGGGTTTTTTCCCTCCCACTTTTGACTATACAGTTTTCATAAAGATGCTTATTTATCTAGAGTACTTGAGTAGGCCTAGTGCCAGTTGGTTGTACTAATTTTCTAAAGCCAACTAGTTGCTGTCACAAAATAAATTAGTAGCAGGGTTTCTCTGATTATATAAATATCAAATGATGAATATGTCCCTTTCATCTGAGAATGACATCCTGGAGTATTAGTCTCTTCATTCTGTTTAGCTTTATGTAATTCTAGGGCTGGAAGGAAGCTTAGCTATCACAAGGTCTACTGTTTCACTTACAGAAGGAGAAACTAAGGCCCCAGGAAGGAAGGGATTTTCCCAGGACCCCAGAGCTATTTGGTGGCACAGTCAGACCTCCTACTTCCATTCTTTCCATATCACTCCACCTTCCAAGGGCTCAGCATTCGTGGTATTAGCTGTTGAATGCACTTTAGCTGTGATCCTTAGTCTGCTTCTGTCAGCATAGCATCTGACTTTTAGATTAAGGAATAGATTAGCTGAGAGGAGAAATTTAAACATAAATCTCTGTGGGGTTTTTACACAGAATAAACTGCTATAGGAAATAAGGGATTTCTTCAGTATTATTTATATTTTTCTATAAAGCCAAAACCTAAACCAGAAAGCAAGCAGCCTCTTTGTTCCATTCTTTGTTCCACAATAAACAACTTAGCTGACTTAGTAGCATATTTATCTGTACCACAAACCACCCTTCCCCTTGCAGTTGCCTCCTCTTCCCTATACAGATTCTCTTCCTCTCTCTCTCTCTCTCCTCTCTCGCTGTCTCATTCTCTCTCTCTCTCTCTCTTTCTCTGTCACACACACACACACACACACACTCACACACACACACACTCCCACACACTCCCACACCTAGCCCTGCCCTGGCTGTGTCTGAGAGGATGCATCTTCTCAGGGTCATGCAAAAACTGGCCTCATTCCCCTACTAGAAAAGATCCTCCCTGGTGATAACAATTTGTTTGCCTGCAAGTGTTGAAGAGAGAGGGAGGGAACCACCACATCTGAGCCAGGCAGTGTTTTAAACTTCAGCCAACCCTCTCTAATTTCCAATCTAGTTGTAATTATTTTCCTTCTCTTAATCTTCTGTGTAAGGTACTTAAAGTGCTTTGGTAGTGCTGTACACATGGAGTTGATTGTTGCTAATGATAATACTGTACATGTTCTATGCGAATGACTTGGATATATTTGATTTAATGGGCTATTTGTATTGTGTATTTCCTGCATTGTGAAACATATATAGTTGTAGAACCTTAAAAGTAAATAAAATGTTAAAAATTCGAATAAAATATTTTTCAAAATTCTCCACCAGTACATTATCAATTCTTCAGATTTAGATGCACTTGGGCTCCTGAGCCACTGGAATACAGATTTTGTTGCATGTACTTCGAGGTTCTCCATATGGGCAGATTAAGATCTCTCTGCCTCTAAAATATGTGCTCCCCTTCTTACTTGCCAGCTGGTAAAAGCATCCCCTTACCAGAGAACAAGGATTTTCCTGCTGCTAATGGGAATGGACCTTTATATTCAAATGCTACTAAGAAAGGTCAGAGTTATAGGGGATTAAAATCACACAAAAGTGCAAATAGCTAAGGAAAGAGCCTTTCTTCTGATAAAAGGGAACAAAAGCACCCAGGATACTGGGAGAATGGGGATGGGGAGGGGGGAAAAGCAGATAAGTCCACCAATGGGGAGTAAACGGTCAGAGGAAAGACTGTAAAAAAGAAACTTGGCCCATGCTCACTTATTAATAAAAGCTAGCAATTTTGAGAGTTCAAGTGAATAACCTCTCTGTTCTGAATTTGGGTTTAAAAGTCAGTTGCTAAATTTAATTATGCATTCATTTTTGAGTGTATATTCTGTGCCAGGACCTATAATGAACACTGAGGACCCAGCAGTAAAAGTCATGATTCCTGTCCACAAAAAATTCACATCTACTGAGTGAGACAGATGAGAGGAAGACACTCATAATGCAGTGTGATGTGAAAAGTGAACTCTTGAAAGGCCTGGAAGTTTTTTTGCTTCCTAATGCAAAGATACTGAATTAGTCCTTTAAGATCCTATATGAATTTACCTAGAAGCCTTCAAGTCTTTTTACTCAGAGTAAGAAATACATTCTTCATCATGACCCAGTAAATATATGCACCATACACACATAAAGCTGAAGGAAAAATTTTATTAAACTGTATTAACACTTTTTATATGCAGTGTACTTTATTTTCCATTTTATTTGTTTCCTTTAAAAAAAAAAAGGTCACATCTTGTTAATTTAACTTAATGGGTCACAATCTACAGCTTGCAGGTGGAGTAAACAAAAACGAGCATTCCAGGCAGATGACTCAGCATCAGACAGGCAGGAGAGTGCATCTTCACTGTAGTTCATTTAGCATCTCGGGGCCTCCAGACCCTCAGTGTTCTAGGCACCTCGAAAGCCAGTGATCCCTGGTACAGATAAGGAGTGGAAGTGAAAGGAAACATTTGTTGGGCATCTTCCATGGGTCAAACATTATGCTCGTGTTCTACATGTATTTTCCCATAGGTTTCACCCAACAACTGGAAGAGTCAGGGACTATTTCTTTCATTTTAAAAATGAGGGAACTGAGAATCAGAGATTTTAAATAATTGCCCCAAGATCACAGAGCCAGACTAGGCATGAGCATAGACATTCAGGTCCTGCGTGTGAGGCGATACACAGCAGTATTAAGAGCACAGATGCTGGATTCTGCCAGACGAACAATTGAATCTTCGTTTTGCCACTTACTTACTAG